GGGGCGCCGCCCCCACCGTGGACCAGGGCCCGGCAGCCGGGCGCCTCCCTGCCCTGCCCTGCCTCGCCCCGCGCTCACCGGTCCGCCAGCAGCCGCTGCTGGCGCCTCAGCATGTCCCGCAGCTCCGGGAGGCCGCGGCCGTGCAGGGCCCCGCTGCCGCCGGGCGGCGCCGACATACCGCGGGACGAAGCCGCATGTCACGGGGACAGCAACCCGAAGCCGGCTCCGCCGCACAGCTCCCGACTTCCGCCGCCCGCAGAGAGCGGCCATGTTTCCGGAAGCAACGGCAGCGCCGAGGGGCCACAGTTGTGCCAAGGCGCGAGGGCGGGGCAGGACTCTGCGGCAATTCGCCCCGCCCCCTCCCCACGGCTGCCGCTCGTGTCATAGCCCCCTCCTCACCGCCCGCAATTCCTGCTAATCTCTCCCCACTCCAGAGGTGCGAACAGCCCCCCGATCCTTCCTCTTAGGTCTGCTCTGAGCCCCGTGCCAACGCGTCTCTGGTGTTGCACAACTCCCCTTTTCTGGCACTCAATGAGTTCATTGCAGTTGCCTGGAGACCCGCTCCACCTGCAAAGTAGCTGTCACAGGATACAAAGCTCTAGCCAGCTGTAAAGTTAGTCCTCACAAATATGTACCTGTAGAGCTGGTTGCTATCAAGCTTTAATTTGTATGTGTGGCAGGGGCTCCCCTGTGGCCAGTGGTGCAACCCCCAAGCCTTGAGGATTGCAGCTTCCAGGATCCCCAAGCCGGAGGGCACAGGAAACCCATGGACCCAAGTGGGGCTCTAGGCCCCAGCTGTGCCTCATGCACCCTTGGGATGAGATACCCTGCAGCTGACAGGTCTCTGGGTCCCAGCTCTGACTCGCACAGCTGGGACCCAGAGCCCCATTGTGGGGTCTGTGGATCCTGGGTGCATGTGGCCTCTATGGCTGGAAGCCCCCTTAGCCCACTATCAGGCTGGCCTTACATCGCAATAAGGCACAATTGGATCTAGTGCATGATCTCACAGTCTCACTTCCTACCACACACACGCGGCATGGCAGGAAATGTGATTGTGCGGATCGCACATTAGACTCAGTCATGCCTTTACCTGAACTTGTAGAGGGGGCCTGAACAATAATGGGTATAGCACTAATGACAGTATCTTTCCACTATTTTGACTAACTTTTGCCTAGTTTGTTCTGTTTTTTTTAATAGATGTAAACTAGTAGCAAATTTAGTGCCTGTTATATTTATTTTTGCTTTGATCTGAAACGGAATAAAAAATTGCTAGCCTTCCCCACCCCCTGCCTGTTAGTAAAGCATTGAGTTTCTTTTTTAACTGGAGGAAAATGCGTTCAAAGTGATGATACACCACACCATCTGCACCCTGCTTTTTCAAAATCCTGGATCTACCCATGACAAGCAATAAACTGAATCTCATGAGGATAGGCCCAGATGGCTTCAGATGATACTACTATTACTGCCACCACCACTGCATCCACTCCCAAAGCTTAGCAACTACAGTACTGGAACAGGGTGCAGGTGCTTGCTTTGAGCCCCGTGCACCATGAATGACTTCTGTCGGTTTAGATCAAAACAGTCACCAACAAAGTGCAGTATGGGCAAAGCCGTGATTCTTTAAAGACAAACCCTGCTGCATGTCTTCAGCTCCTCATATGTAGTAGTAGGATAAGTGTGGCTCTGCTGTTTAGGGGTTAAATCAGGAGTGTCTGTTCACACTCGAGTCCGTGGCACATCACAGGGACCAGGTCCTTATATTTCCCTATATAAGCGGTGCTTGGCAGTACAAGGAGTAAAGCTGAGATGGGGTCAGGCCGGATGGTTGGATCTACTTTCCCTTATCCATCACAAATCTGGACATGGGAGGCTACTTCTAGGTCAAGGTTGCAGAGGTTAGAGCTGGTTGCCCTTTTGTGGCCTTGTAGTGCAGAGTGGAACCTTCCATATCATAAGTTGTGCAAAACTAGACATGTAAACAGTCATAAAAAAGTGGGGAAGAAACACAAAAGACCACAGATAGAAGAGAATATAGCCAAAGGACGAGCTGGGACATTAAGGGTCTTAGAGGTTGTTTCCATCTAGTAGAAACAATAATAAAGTCATTAGCTAAACAGCATGTCCCAGGCAGTAGAGTTGGGTCTTTTAAAGTCTATCTGAATTGTGGCTTCTTGGTCCAAGTAATAGCAAAGAGACACATTTCCCAGAGATTGTTAAAACAGTTGTTTCATGAACAGGATGAACTGAGGGCCCACCCCAGCGGGACAGAGGGAGGAAGCATGTTAAAATGGCTACTCACTCCTTTGTTTGCTCAGCTGGAAGGTGATTTGAAAAGCTGAGGGCCAGGGGAAATGAGATTAATCAAGTAGGCAGCTACCCATGAAAAAAATACCATGATCTGGGTGAGAAAAGCCAAGTTAAATGAGTTTGTGAGGGGTTCCAATCAGTCCTGTTGCCTGCACGGCTGCGGTGCACTCGGGGTGCACAGTGGTGCTGCTGGGAGGGGGGACTACAGTGAATTTTGAGGTGGCTCTAGCCTCCCCAACCTTCCCTCCCAGCTGCCTGCCTTAAGCGCAGCCGGGTTGTGCCTACCCCCACTGGGAAGAGCCTGGCACTGCCCCTACCCCCAACCTGCAGTGGCAGCCTACCCCACCCCACGCGCAAATCCAGGGGCCCACACCTACCATGCCCTCCTGGGGTGCATGCTATGGCAGGAGCTGCCACTCACCCCTCCCCATGCCCCCTGGATGAGCCACAGCTCTGTCCTGTGCCCTGCCCAAGCAGTGCTTGCCCCTGCCCCAGCACCAGCCCCAGCCCCACTCCCTCCCTCACTGTGGAGGCCTCCATCTGCCCTCCCCATGCCCCTTCCCTTCTCCCATAACAGACTTATCAGCCAGACCCAGCTGCTCTCTGTGCTGCTGGGCCGTGTTCCTGGCTACCTGCCTGCTGTGCTGAGACTGCGCGCATACGCACGCGCACGCGCGCGTGCGCACACACACACACACAGAGCATTTATCAGCCACATCAAACAAAAAAAATGCTAATTGCTGATACTCTCAATTTTCATCATATTGGTGCCAATCTGATATGGGACCAATGTATCAGTGCACCTCTACTCACACTGTATATGCCCCAGCAGAATACCGTGTTCTTGTATGGCTTAATACTTGCCACACTAAAAACCTTGACACTATATGTAGTGCCCTCAGATACATAACACTCTGCACAACTTACACACACACATGTACTTCTCGTAGTCTCAGGCATTAGACCAAGTGATAAGATAACAGACCCTAACATCATTACTGGCAATAGAAGCAAGAGATGACAAAAATCACCTGCTCCACCAACCGTTAGCTGAAGACCTGAATAGATGAAGGCGTAAAAGTCATAAACCATTTATACACGAAGCCCATAAACTCCTGGAAGAGATTGGGGATGCTGAACCCAACCTGTGGGTAGCAACGAAGGGGAAAGATCAGAACTGTTCCTACAGTGCTTTATCCCAACACCAAACCAGTCCTTCATTGGGCACAACCGTGACAGGGAAGCATAGGTCCAGCTGAACAGCCTGAAATCTGGATACAGGTGTTTCAAAACAACAGTTTTACAAGATGAACATCTTGGACAGTGCACTGTATGAACGTGGTATCCAACAAATAGTAAAAGGTTCTTTGGGTGAATGTGATAT